GTAGCTGGTCTTGTACGAATTGGAAAAGGTTTATTTTTGTTCTATTTGAGAAATTAAAATAAATCATTAAAGAATTTTTGTTTATAGGACATACACAAAACTTGCAAAATAGCTTTAAAGGTACGATGCAGTTGATAATGATAATCAAGTGAATAACATATTATCTTGCCGTATCATATAGGTACGACAAAAAATCCATTGAGTGTTGCACTTGCTTTATATTCTGGTCTTTGGGCATATGGTGGATGGAATTCTCTTAATTCAGTGACAGAAGAACTAAAAAATCCTAAAAGGTATAATTTTGCATAGATATAATCTGCTAGAGACAACTGAACATATTCATCTTGTTAAATTAACTCTTCTTGTTTTATTCATTTTGAAAGTTTAGTGGTGATTATATTTTTGTGATCATCCGTAAAAGATGAACAAGCAGTTACACTAAATATTTTCCTTTTTTTTCATGCAGATTTGCGCGAAATTTTGAAAAACATTTTTAAATAGGAAATGAACTGAATCAATCAGTTGAAATAATTGAAGACTATGATAGATGGGCAGATTTGCTGTTTCCTCAAGTGGTAATATGAAAATTGTTAGATTTTTGAATATCATTTGTATTGAACTTCATTGTATTTTTAATAAATTCTGCTCATTAAAATCTAATGTATTTAAAAAAACAGAAACTTTGCCATAGGTCATAGAAGGTGCAAATTCAGTTATTTAGGGAGAGTAATACCGTTTTGAATAGGTAATATTTTAGTATCCCTCTCCCTCAACTGTGGGCATTTCAGCAGCAAAACCTTTGCGGCTTGAATAGAAATTTTCTCAAAGAACTATTGTGTTTTCGCCTTGCTATTCATCTAAAAGATTATCTAAAATTTCAAGAATTATTCTTTTCTTGAAAAAATTACAGATGTAACAATCTGCTGGGATGATAAAAGTGTTATCCTTCAGATTTATTAACTATTTATTATTAGCAGCTAGTTGACCTTTTTTTCTGGTTTCGAAGTAATAGATAGGTTTTTCTTCAGGCATTTTGATTTTAAATTTTGTTAAAAAGCAAAACAAAGATAAACTAACAATGCCGAATGACAAGCCGACTTGTATTGGTAACAAACAGTAAAACTAGTATTTCGTTCATTGCACGTTAGTTAATCGGACTTCAATGCCTTTAATCAAAATGTAAACTTTGAAGATCGCTTATTACAACAGGAGAAAGTTCAAAATCTTACACAGGACGTCCAGGAGTGGAGGCGGTCGATGAAGTTGAACACATCTAAACAAGGGAGAGTGGAGATGTGAAGCAATATGGTTCCTACCTGAACCTTCTTTTTGAATGGTCTTTTTGTATTTTACAGAAACCTATGGTTATCTATTGTATTGGCTTTACCTACTGTTATAGTCCTTTATGTTCTTACTAATATTTCTTATTTTACTGTAATGAACAAAGAAGAATTGCTTTCTTCTGAAGCTGTTGCTGTAGTATGTGAAACAACAAAAAACAGCCTTATTTTGTAATCAATTAATTTCTTTTTGGATAGACATGGGGTGAAGCTGTATTGGGTCCAGTTGTATGTGCTTTACCTATTCTAATTTCTGTTAGTGCATTAGGTAGTGCTAATGCAAATCTCTTTGGATCTGCTCGATATTGTATGGTTAGTGCACAGTATGGATATTTGCCAGAAGTATTTGCATGTATTCATATACGAAGATTGACTCCAGTGCCTGGTGTTGTTCTTCAGGTTGTACTGTTATTTTCTTCCATTTCAACTATTAAGCATAATATTATTATTTTCCTTGTTTTTTGAAGGGTACAATTGCAATTATGTTTTGTCTTCCAAGTAATGTTGAAGATTTGATCAATTTTT